GGCAGCCTGGAAATGATACTAATGAACGCAAAACTAACGAATCACAGACTTTTCAACCCACTGTACAATACCTCATGAGAAAATAAGACTCCTAAATCTAGTAAATTTGTCTAAACTGAGGCCCGTGGTGTGTGCTTGTACCAGCCCACACTTACCCACCCACCTGCCCACGCACACACTGTACTGTTCCAAAATTCTAACCTGGAATGTGAAAGGAATAAATCTTTTGGACTTTGAGGCACCAGCATACACCCAGGATCTGTGGAAAGAGGTCTCCGGAATCAGTCTAAGCCCATACTTGTAGTCCTGGGCATGGTCCCAACGCTGGAGAGAGAACTCGGGGCACTGGAATAAGATGCTGGTTTGGAGACAAAGAGAAATTATTCGAGCATGTACATTTGACCTGAGGAGTCTGGGCTTGCCTGAGGTGTGGCAGTGTCTTCACACGGGACTGGATGCCTGTTTTAGCCTTAGGGTTCTTGAAAGGTGAATGGGAGTGCCAGTGGTGTGGTAGTAGATGCTTAAAGTCCTGGATCCTGGTGAGGTAGGTGGGATCCAACTGGAAAGGCACCCTCATCAGATCAGTTTTTCTCTTATTACTAATGCAGACTGAGCTTCTGACTATGAAGAAAAGCGATCTCTGCCAAAAGATGTTTGGAGGCACCTCCTACACATACTATGTTGGGGCACTTGCATTTAGCCTCATTCATCTAAGAATTGCCTCTTAATTCAGATGACGCAATTGAGAAACAGAAAAGTTATGTGGCTTCCCCAATGCTCCAGCTAGTGAGCAGCAAAGCTGGGTGTTGTGGCCTGAATGCTCGCTCAAATTCACACGTTAAAGCCAGACCCTCAGTGTGACGGTACTGGGGGGAGCAGCCTTGGGAGATGATCAAGGTTAGATGGGGTCAGGAGAGTGGGTTACTGACTTTAGAAGCAGAGGTACCACAGAGTGGACTTCTCCCTTCACCTTGTTAGGGCACAGCCAGAAGGCGGCTCTCTGGAAGCCAGAAAGTGTGCTCCCACCAGAACCAGACACCATGGCACCTGATCTCAGACTCTGGCAGAATAAATCCTTCTGAAGTCTCCCCATCTATGAATTTCACGTGACATTGTGTGGCAGCTTGAGCTAAGATACAGGGTTTTGACCCACAGCAATCAGACGGCAGCACCCCTGCTCTTTCTCGTATTCCACGCCACTTCTCCAGGACAGTCTCTGATTCCACTTTGCTACTCTGCTAAACGTCACACCATAATGGTAAAGTAACTTGCAGTGGAGCCCATGCAGATTTCCCTGAGAAATCTGCAATGCTTTCTGGTACTATTTTTGGCATTTAAACTTGTTACAAGGGCCTTGTTCAAAAGAAGACATCTAATTCCCTTCCTTTGAAAGACCAGGGCTCGTAGTCTATGAGTCCACCATCCCCTCAATTTTACTATTGCACTGTGGTCCTAGGTTCTACAAAACTCTGTTTCTTAGAAATGATGAAAATATCTTCCACAGCAGGAACTGCCTCATACAGAGAAGCTGCTCTTTCACCATTCACCAATTTTTGCCTTTGAGAAATAGACTTGGTTGAAAGTGCACACAAGGCTTGTTCTAGTGGATCACACATTTGTGCAACTTCTAAGGGCTAAGCCATATTGAGAGCTTCTCAGGGAACATATCAGCTCTGAAACATCTAGTGACAAAAGGAAATTGCTCCTGATTCTTTCCCTTGTAGGTAAAAGAGGGCCGAGGGCCGAGTTCATTTTTCACCTTCCTTCTGGAATGGACTTGGTTTCAGACCCTTGTCTACTGGCAGCCCATCTTTGGGCACTAACTTCAGTTAGTCTGGCCACAGAGGCCTCTGGGCTTTAATAGTGAACCACCTTATTTTTGGTACTAGCTATGACTTGCCAACCCCCCTAAACTATGTCTGCTCAACACATTCTTGCTTGGAAGATTTTTTCTGTCCCAGTGTAGCCCTCCAGCCACTGAAGAACTCAGAGAAGTTAAAGATCTGAGGCGCTTTCTTTCTATAGGTAAAAGAGAGGTTGGTAACTTTCCCTTTGAACAAGCATATTGATTTTTAAAAATCCCACAACTGAGGGATTTCCTGGGAAGGAGGTCTTTTATTGCTAAAACCAAACGTTTGTAAATTGTTTTAAAGCTATATTTAAGGTTACTTAAAAATCTATCACTCAATGCAATCACTGTGCCACTTTGGTTTAGATGAATGCTTTTAAGAAAAATGTAAATATTAATTAAGTACACATACACATTTGTATTCTGATTTAAATGAAACATGACAACATGGTATTTTACAGGTTTTAAGGGGAATCACATACCCTATTTCTCAATTACTGTACAGCCAGTGAATTGAGGCAAGATGCTTCCGAGGGAAGACTAAAACCTTTAGAGCCAGAATTGTCTTCAAATACCTGCAGTCATTTTGCAGTTGATTTGACTTCCTTTTTCTCTTTGTGCCTCTCTTTCCTCATTTTGAAAGTGAAGTAATATCCTCTACCTCTCATAGATATGGTGAGAATTAAATAAGAAATTAAATAGGCACCCTGTGCCTGGCTGCCATTTTTATTACGATTAAAGCATGACTGTGTGGTTCTGAGCTATTCTCTCGTTCTTGAGCCTACTGTATCTCTTCTCTTTAAATTCATGTTAGCAGGACCTATGGTTCTGTATGAAATTTTGCTGGAAATCTGTTTGCTGTAAGAGCCGCTGTACCTCTTGACAGCTGGTATTGCTGTTAAATAGGTAATGATGACAGCAAAGGTCTAACCTCTTGGGACTCAAAGACCAGCCGACTTCCTGAAATGATCTGGGAAGACTGCGATGTGGACAGCAATGCCTGAACCCTATCTGTGACCCAAAGAGAAAGGACATTAATTCAGTTTGCCAAAAATCAGCACAATCGGAAGTGTTTATAGAATGCCTTCTATGTGGCAGGCTTTACCATGCATGGGTAACAAGGCTACATTCCTGATCTCCACATAGGTGCAGAACAATAAATACATCTCATCCAAGTTCAGCATCAGTAAGTGATAAAAAGTGAAAAGGAACTGGGTTGGGTATTTTTTGAAAGTGGTCAGAGGAGGCCTCTGTGAGGTCATCATGGAGTAGAGACCAAAGGCCGTGAGACTGGCCCTGAGAACATTTAGGACAATAGGCTGGCCAATCCTCCTCCTGTTTTGCCCACAACTGAGGGATTTCCTGGGAAGAAGGTCTTTTATTGCTAAAACCAGGACAGTTTCAGGCAAAGTTGGAATAGTTAGTTACTTTGGTTAGAGTGCCAGGCAGAGGAAACAGAAATCATCCAAAAAGAGGTGTGTTTTGGAGATGTCTTGGAGGCCAGCATAATGCCATACAGCCAAGCGGAGGAGAAGGAAGAAGTCCAGGACAGGAGAGAGAGGCTGAGTCAGATTCACATAGGGACTTGCTGGTCTGCCCCTCCCAAACGTTCAGACACAGGGATATGATGAGTATAGGCAGTGATGATGAGGGTACCCACACAGGCAGGACTCTGCTACCTGAGGGAGACGGGCCTGTGCATCCTTGATGCCATGGCAAAATTGGAAGAAGACCCCGAAGGAGAGCACCTGGCTGAGATCGCTCTTGACTGGAACTGGGGTGGCTTCACCTGACCTGAGTGCTGCTCTGTCCCCTTCCTGGGGCTTCACTTGGGCTGCATGAACAGGAATTTGTCATTAAGGACAAGGGGAGAGCTGTCTGATTTTGTTTCTCTCAAACTGAGACCATAAAAGGAGCATTGGGGGACATTGTGGAGGACTCAGATTTAAGAGGCACATGTCAAGAGGTATAGAGTACACTGAGATAAAAGAGCAGAGGGTAAGAATTAAAAGTGCCTTGTGGACAAGGATCAGAGAATCTGACAGTGGAAAGGTCAGAAAAGGAGTTTGGGTCAGTGATACAGAAAATGATCGCTGAGTCTAAATCTTTGAAGGGCTGATATCCACTAATAATATGCTTTGCTTGATCGTTATGATTTCTCTCTGCCACTTAGTCATACTTTGGCCACCATGCTTCTTTTCACCCCCCCCAACACAGCACTTTAATTCTCTCACATAGGGCTGAGTGTTTATGAACCTGGGCCTGAGTCACCTTTAGAAGGAAGAGTTTCAACCTTCGCTGTATATTAGAGGGGGCTTTGTCATTGTTCATAGCCTGCCCCAGAAATTTTGCTTTAATTTGTCTGAAGTGGAGCCTATAATAGTTTGGACCATTGAGCAGAGTTTATTTATTTATTTATTTTTTTTCTATCCTGTTGCTATTGGGCTTGGCCTCATGACTCTCTGGCCAGTAGGATATTCCTAGATATGATGTGAGTAGAAGCCTTAAATGTGCTGTGTGTCTTTTCTTTGCACTCCAGCGATCCATCCTGAGAAGATCACGCCCTGGGAAGCTACCATTCCAGGGAGAATGAAATAGAGTAAGATTTCGACCTAAAAACGAGTTCTGTTCTGGGAGAATACTGGTAAAGTGGGTTTGTTCCTAAGTCTGACAAAATGAGTCTTATACAGTACAGCTGTGAGAGTTCACAACTCAAATATTCATAAATTAGGGACTTACATGCAAAGATGACCTGAATCCAACATATAATCTGGAGTAAACCCACCCCCTGAGCCAGCTTAGATCAGTCCAGCTCTAGTTACTAACAGACCTATCAGTGGAAAATAAATACCAAGTTTTGAGATATTTGTTACAAAGCATTGTTGCAGCAGTATCTAACTACTACAAGGCTTCAGTTCAAAGAAATCCCAATTCAGTTGTTTTGAACTACAGCTTAGTGCTGCAGTCTGAATGTCTGTGTGTCCTCCAAATTCACATGTTTAAACATAATCACCAGTGTCAGGGTATTGGGGGGCAGGGCCATTGGGAAGTGATTAGGTCCTGAGTGTCCAGTCCTCATGAGTGGGATGAATAGCCTTCATGTAAGGAGTCTCAGAGATCTGCCTTGCTTCTCATACCATACGAGGGAGCGGTAAGAAGATGCTTTCTATGAACCAGGAACAAGTCCTCACCAGACACCAAGTGTGCTGGCACCTTGATCTGGAATTCCCAACTACCAGCATGGTGAGAAATAACTTTTTAAAATAAGCCTACACATCTATGATATTTTGTTATAGCAGCCCAAATGGTCCAAGACACTCAGGCATCAGTATTTCTTTAAAATGCCTTCCAGATGTGCAGCCAGGGGGTGATTACTGCCAATTTGGAATATTGCTTCCTTGGTCTAAGAATCAGGCAATGATACCACTGCTTGAACTTGTGTTTCTTGAAACCTGGCTCTGGAACTATCAACACCGGAATCTCTGTCCATATGGGGCATCTCACTTGTTTCAAATTCTTGAGTCCTACTCTGACCTTCAGAATCAGACTTTCTGGAAATGGGTAAGGGAATCTGCATTTTAACACATTATTCCTCTGGTAGCTTTCAATTACACTAAAATTTGGGAAAGGCCCACTGAGAGGTTATATTACATTTCCTGTCACACCACAGTAAGAGAGTTGATGATGACTGAAGCTTTCTTATAAAATTTGAAGCCACTTCTGCTTGCCTTTATGAACATTCCGGTTTGAGACTCTTAGTCTTGATAGTGAGGATCTGGAGGAGGAGAACTGCATCTTGATCTGATTTCATATAATGCAGGAGGTTGGAGTAAGTTATTTCCAGCTCTCACACTGTGATTTTACACCATTATATCTGTCATTATAATCTATGCAGCACAGGTATGAAATGACTCAAACTCTAGCTACTGCAGACCAAAGGGTGGATGATCATCTCAACAGGAAGTTGGTGCTGCCTCAGGCATTAAATCACGCTGACCAATGGGACTCCAGATGCCTTTGGCCTTTAAGACTGAGCTGGGGCCCCACTGGGCCATGGAATATGCAGCAGCCACTGTAGATCCCTGTGGCTCTTGTCTTTTTTCTCTTTTCAGTTCTGTGCCCCCTTTCTGCCACATTTTATTCTCTTGGCATCAAGTCTGGACTTCAGTCTCATTGTTGGTCCTTTAGACTTGAGGTCCTGAGAATGAATCTCAACTTCTTCTGACGGACCCTGGCTTGGCTCAGCACTTGGCCCACTGGTTCTCTCTTTCAGCTGGAGAACTTGAAACAACTCCAAATCAGGCTGCTTCTAGGAGACCCCATCAGAACCCCTCATCAGAGGAGCCAGGTTTTCCACAGGCTTGCTGGGGATTCCAGTGGGCAGCCAAGGTTGACAACCATTTACTGGCAGAACCCACACCTCCCTGTAGTCACTGTCATCCTTTTCCCCACCGCCTGGATTAGACATGTGGTCCTGGAGTGCTGCTTCCAGCAAGAGGATTGGAACACGGTAACCACATTTCCATGCAATAGAAGAGCATTTTTATGTCTGTCCCAAGACAGGAGTTACTCCCTCCCCTCCAGGAGTACAGTTTGAAATATGCCACCGATCAGCAAGATGCAGGCCGAGAGTGTAGGTAGTTGGCCAAAGAAAACAGAGCACTCACCGGAGAGAGGCACAGACAGAAGGCTGCAGGGCCATAGAAAGTAGGGAAAGATGCCATTCCCCATAATGAGCAACCGGCGGCAGGCGCTTTGCAAAGCAATACAGTTGATAAATTCTCTGTACTTAAAGTGAACTTTGAACAGATGCATAAACAGAGATTGAGTGTTTTCTGCAAATAAAAGCAAGCAACGGCTTGATACAAAGAAGCCAAGTCCCAGCACAGAATGAAATGGAACAAGAATGGAGTGGGAGACAATGGAAGTCAATGAGCGGAACATAGGTAGTAAAATACATTTGGAAAAATCCGGATGAATCGTATGGTAGGCAAGCTTCTAGTGACACTAAAGAGGTGGGTCACCGTAGCTCTTAGAAGAAACTGGAAATGGGTATCAGAATCTCACTGTGTGGTATTTATAGTTTTCTGCATGCATTACAGCTTAAACTGACTATATCATAAATACTTTATCATTTTCATTGCAGAGGGTGGGCTCATCATTTTCAATTAATTTTTTTTTTTTGTTCTTGCCATGAAGTCTGGGCTAAGGAATGCCATCAAGTTCTTTTACAGAGACACAGAGTGGAGGGTTGGGGGTCCAGTTTGAAGGCAGAGCAAATGAGTAGGTCTCCCTAGGGAGTGGGACCTGAGCATTTGAATTTTCCTTTGTGAATCCTATGAGCTATGTTAGCACCCTCAGGCCCTGAAACGGAATCCATAGCAGTCATGAGAGGGAGGAATGGAAAAACTCTGGGAAGGATGTGGTTGGGACATTTTTTAATGAGACAGGGGTCCAGAAAGATCTGGAAGGTTGAGAGAATCAAGCAGAGTGTTTCAAAGTGGCCACGCTTGCTCTTCACCAAGATGAAAAACCAGATGTGTTTTTCCCTTATGCTGCGTGCCAGTGTCCACATGCTCAATACGGAGCCCAGGCTCACTCGCCCACCAGGGCCAGTGGCGGTGTGTGGGTGAGAACAGGGCCAGACGCTCTTCATCTGCCAGGATTGGATATCGATTGGAGTTTCTAGTGGAAATAAATAGACTTTGCTTTTCTCAGTGGTTTAAACAGATCTGCTTTAGAAAGAAAAACAAGGCTGAAAGTCAAGCGCTTTGAATGGACTTATTCACTCAGCCTTCATGTCGTTCTTTTTCTTCCCTGGTCTGCCAGGGAGGCAGCTCTCAGCCATGTTACCCCTGTGACTCTCTTTGGAAGAACTCAGGGAAACTCAGCCAAGGAGGGGGTTAAACCACATTGCCACTGAAGACAGATTAAAAGCCAGTGATTACCCGGTAGCTGAGCTGACACTGAGCCCAGCCCTGGCAATATGCTCCTGATAACAGCATGCAGTTCCATGGAAGGTCTCCTTAGATTTACTCAGAAAAGGGTAGATTAAAAAGAAACAAAACAATAAAAAGCCCAAACCTTAAATGGCTAGAGAGAAGCTGGGTGGTAGGAAAAACCTTTGCCAAGTTCTGTCTCTTGGAGTCTTTGGGAAAAAATTCCATCTCACACAGATTTAACGGAGAATTCCTCTAAAAGTTCAAATCTCGCCATTGCCTTTGAATATTTTCCTTTAAGATGGTGTTAATGAGCTTGATGTCTCCAAGACCATAAGATCTCATTGCTGCCCTTGCAGGGTTGGTGGCTACCTGAGGTCTGCTACTGAAATTCTCTCATCTAGAGATCCAGTTTCACCACAGATTTTTCCCCCCTCATTCCTTTATCTGAGAAGAAAGGAATATTTAGATATTCATTTGGCACATAACGAGATAACTATAACAAGTTAATTAGCTCTCAATTAAGTTGCATTTACCATACTTCCTGAATGTGTTCTTTGCAATTAGGGACATCTGATGAGCTTGGAGTATTGCTTGGCTTCCCACAGATAACACGAAGATGAGAACACCTCTCCTTGAGGCAGAGGCAGAATGGCATTGTCGTCTTGAAAGCCAGTATCAGGGTATGCATCCAACATGTCTAAGGATCAATTGCATGCAGTGACTGTTCAATTTGGTGAAATGGCAGGCTGAGCCAGTTATGTGGTGCAGAAGCAAGGAGTCGTGAAATTAGTACAATGTAAAGAGCTTTTGTCTCTGGAGTCCAGTAGATATGGGTTCAGGGATAGCTAACGATTTCTAGTTATGTGTTGCAATAACTGAGTAACTGCTATTTTGTGTTGCTATAACTGAATACCTGAGACTGGGTAATTTATAAAGGACAGAGATGTATTTAGCTCATGGTTCTGGACATGAAGTCCAAGAACATGGCACCAATAGCTTATGAGAGCCTTCTTGCCGTATCATAACATGGCTGAGGGCATCTGTGGTGAGACAGTAGGCAGCCAGAGAGAGATGTTTTTATAACAGAGCTGCTCTTGAAATAACTCAACAATCTATCCCTCTATTAATCCATAAATGGATTAACTCACTTATGAGAGCAGAGTCCTCATGATCCAGTCACCTGTAAATACTGGTGACAATATGAATTTGGAACTAAGTTCTCAACCTATGCAGTTTTGGGGACACATTCAAATCAGAACAATGATTTTGGACAAGTACCTAAACTCTCCAAGCTTCAGTTTCCCTATTTGTATGCTAGTGTATTCATCAATTTCCTGATGCTGGGATAAAATACCTGACACCCACAGTTTCAAGGAGAAGAGGTTTATTATAACTCATGGTTTTCAAAAGATTCAGGCCATAGTTATTTGGATCCAACGCTGAAACGGCACGGCAGAAGGGCCTGGTGGAGGACAATAGCTCATATGGTATCCAGGAAGGAAAGAGAGAGGGAGAGAGGGGGGGAGGGAGAGAGAGAGAGAAGGCGTTAGGGACACAAATACCCCTTTGGGTCACACCTCCAGTGGCCCACCTCCCACCAGGTCCCACCTCTTAACAACACATTCACCTACTGAACTCATCAATGGAAAAGTCCATCCATGAGAACAGCATCCCATGATCAAATCACCTTCCACACACATGAGACATGTAAACCGTAATAGTTAGTGACAGTAAAGGCCTCCTTAGAGTTGTATAGACCGGAGAGAATGAAGGGTAAAACTCTATGGTTTCCCTGTATAGTAGACATGGTTGTTAGTTCATAAATGTGTATCTGTGGTCTCGGTCACCTGGCAGGATTTGGTAGAGGAGTCACCTGGCTAAACTCTAGGGGGTTAGCTGTCATTTGAAGTCACTGCAGACTCCCCTAATTCAGTTTTATTGCTTTGCCAGTGGTGAAATCTTTATGAAGACACCATCAGAATATTACAGAAAATCCAGGGAATATGGAAGGGTAAGGTGAGTTATTCATTTTACCTTGTTGTTTCCCTTAAGAGCACATCATTCAGTGTGCCTAAAGTCAGACAGAAATGATTGCATTTATCAGACGAATGAGTATGAAACTGGTCTCCAGTGGGGAGAAAATGGAGCGCTGTCAGGGTGAAGAAAGGGTGAAGGCTTCCCTGAAAGCATGCACCCCACAGTATGAGAAGGACTCCCGGGTACTGGCTCCATCCCTTTCTTTCCAAGGGCTCACCTCTCCTTCAACACCAGCTACGATTAAAAAGCCACGTTGAAGAATCATCAGAAAGTGGGAAAAAATTTACAAACTAATTTGCATTTTAATGAATTTTTAATTGAACCCAAATCTGTTGTTTCTGTTTAAAGATGCAGTGCTGACTTTGTGGTCTCTGCGGCTGAGGGCCAAGTGGGAACTTGATGTGATAAAAACAATGATAATGCTAAGCTTAATTAGGTTTGAAAACTTGTCTGAAAAGGCTGCGAGGAGTCTGGAAATGGTGAGCATTTGCTAGCAGCAGACTAAGAAGCTGGATTGCATTGTCAGATGCTTTGTCCCCCAAACCAAGAACACAGACCAAATCAGCCAGGTTCTTCATGATGGTGACTTTGGGTTTAGTAGGCCCTGGTGCCTGCCAAGCCCAGACAGGGATAAATGGCTTTGGTGTTTTGTTGCCACAGCCCCTCTTCCTCTTTATGTTACTTAGCAGGGTCTTAGCGTTGACCTAGGTGAGGTGCACTTCTAGGTGTGTCTGGGTGGGTCAAGGAGGCATGGCCTTGGGGTCGATGTCTGGCCCCTCACCCACTCTCCCCAACACTCTTACTCTGCTTTGTTTCCCTGCCACCATGAACAAAGTGGCTTTTCTTTGTTGCATCCTTCTGCCGTGTCTCTGTGTTCGAGCCTGATCAGAGACCGAAACATAAGCAAATTAAACCTCTCCTCCTTTATGTTGTGGGTGTTGGGTATTGTGTCTCAGTAATTAGAAAGCTGGCCAATACACTTGTCAAGGCCTGTCTGCCATTCCTCCACTTTCCCATGTCCATGTGTCTTTCCTCCACCCTGGCAGTCTGATGTGAGCCCTCCTCCTCCCAAGACAAAGACCATGGCAAAGCTGGAAGGGAAGAGACATTGCATACTTCGTTTTGTAAGTCAAACGCCACTTCTCAGAAATGTGGCTGAAGAACTCTGAAAGATTATTTGCTAAGCAGTTGTTTTACTTCTGGAAACACAAATTAAATAAAAACCTTCAGGCTGAAAGGATAGTCAGAAATTAAGAAGTGAACTGTCCCCTCAGACAGAGTTGGGGAATGTCAACTTGGTAAAAGCTGTAGATAAATTTAAAGATAAACTCCAATAGGAGGAAAATGATGGCCTGAAGATATGGCAGAGAGAATCTGAGACATCCATGAAATTTTTTTATGGTGTGCAAGAATAGCTGGATTTTCCCCATGTCCCAAGGGCAACTGCTGTGGGCCACCTGGTCATCAGTTTTGACACAGGGGTCCATTCCCTCTAGTGGGCTCCAGCTTGCCTTTGCTTTTTTTCATATTGCATCTGTCTTCCCTTCCCAGTTGTCTGCCCAGAAGGCTTCAAATCCAACATCATATGTGAAGACAACAGCAATACAGCTTACAGATGTGTAAGGTCAGATCTCTGTAACAAGTCTGTTTATCTGTCCACCTACACATCCATCCATCCATCCACCCACCCATCCACCCATCTACCTACCCATCCATCCATCCATCCATTACCCACCTACCCATCCATCTATCCTTCCAACCATCCATGGTTCTGTTTCTTGTGGCTTAGAAGGGTTGCTTTGGTTATGTGGAGGAGGAAACACCTGGGAGGTGGTAAGTCTGTGAGCACAGAGAGAAGAGAAAGCATTTAAGAGAAATTCCATCTCTGGTCTCTCTTTAACTACTGAATTCTTTCCTTCCCAAGTGCTTTGGAATCCTTAGTCCTCTCACCCCATGGCAGTTCTAACAGAAAAAAGAGAAACCAGGCCATTTTCATCATTACCCAAACCAGGGGGCCAGGGAAGGGCTACATCAGAAGCGCCTGTCAGGGACAGGAATTTGTCACATGCAGGGGAAGGATGAGAAGCCCTTCTGATCTGACAGCTCTCCAAGTACATCTCTTATGATAATGAGTCTGATACATTGTGAATCAAACCTAATCAAACAAACTGGATTACATCTAGCATCTTTTTCTTTCTAAAAGTGACAGAACAAATCTTTATAATGGCCTTTTCTAAGGGTCCACTAAGAATTTTCAAGAATAGGTGTAGAAAATATCCATCTTTTAAAAATAACTAAATTAGAATTCAATTCAGGGAAGGCAAAATCTAAAGGGTTGACAGATGAGGTCTGAACACTTCACTAAGGTGAGATCTTGGCTGTCTGTAAATAGTAGTTGGTCACCTATTTATCAATATAAAACATCACTAAATAAGGTACACTTGTAAGTAACTTTTGTTCTTTCACAAGTGATGAAATTTTTTCATTTTGTTTAATTACCATGAGCACAGTAAAACCAACATTAAATGCAGAAAATTATTCTGATGAGGTCCAGAATCTTTGCTGTCTAGGAAGATTACACAGATGGTAGAGGATATGACAAGAAAGCTGGACTTCGAAAACTGAGAGAACTTTGCCGAAATGTTAACATGTTTCATGCTTTTCTAATTCAGGTATTATTAACAGAGGAAAATAATTTGACTTTCCATCCTTTACATACCCTCTTTCATGCTCTGGAACAGGTTTTTTTTTTTGAAAGAAACAAAAGCACATGAGCTTTTATATTTCTCAAGGCTCCTACCATATTCTCAACCATCCATATTAATGGAATTTTAACTAAATTGACTAACTTCTATTTCACAGCAAAAATTAGGGAGTAGATAATTGAGAACTGTCTGTCATACATAAACATTTAACAGACTAACAAAACTTGTGATGCATATAGTACAATTTTCTTCAGCCACAGACATTAGTTTTATACTTCAAAATCAACATATTTGTTAACATGACCCAACTTATAGCCACGTAGAATATAAACATAAGAAGCAAAAGCACATACCTTTAAAATTATTTGTAGTTACCAATGTTTTGTTATTCTTGTTTAGAAAATACCTAAGGATCTAAAATCTGTTACAGATATTTCTTATTTAACAACCTACCTGTTTAATGACTGTTGGGACTTATGGTTGAGATGCACTGTTACAACTTACGAGACTTATGAGCCACTGCTCCAACTTACAACCTGCATTTGGATTTACAATGCAGGAATATGAGCCACAGTGTGGCCTTGTGATGGCATCTGCAGTACGGTACTGTGATTTTTGATGATTGTACTGTACAGTGTAGTCTGGTACATGGTTTTATGTTCTGTTATACATTACAGTACTGCATATAAGAGTTATGCAAACAAGAAGCAAATTTATCAAGTTGGAGTTTCCTTTGACCATTTCTTTGTTCTGACTATTGTACATACTATCTACAGTTCCTCATTTAATGACCAATTCATTTAACGACCTAGCTGCAGGAATGGAACTTGGGTGGTATCCGGTTATTAAGCCAGGAATGTATGTAGTGAACTCATCTTCATATTTGTCCAAGGTCTTAATTTTCTTAAAGATATTGGAAATTGTATCTTAGCTGGTTCAATATAAGATATAGTCACTACTAATATGAAAAGTTTGTTAGAATAATAACAATTGGACACAAATTTCGTGATCTTAAACATTATGTAGGAATAATGTTGGCTTACGTGATTAGTAAAACTGTGTACATCCAGGAGTTCTGATTACTTATATTTTCTTGAAAAGACAAGCCAACTTAAAATAAAATAAAATGTACTATTGTATTATACTTAGCACACACATTAGAAAAAACCTATTTTTTCTTAAACTATTATAATTGGTCAAAATTTACTTTAATATGTGGAATTGATTCTTAAAATGTTTTTGATCTAACAGTTTGTGCAAGCAGGAATTTTTCCAGATCTAGCATATTAAAGTATCATATAGTCAATGTTTTTACTTTCTGGAAATGTTAGGAATGTGCTATTTATATGAGTATGTATGTATCATTATACACTAGAACAGAGCTCCTCAATTTAAGACACATTATAATGTAGTTTATTAATACCCTCCAATGGTAGGAAAATTTTTTATATACCTGCAATGAGAAGTCAAGTCCTTTCTCAAAGACAAGCAGACAACTTGTAGCCTCAGTTAGCCTGAAGTAAAAAACAGACACAGAAACCCAAAAATATACAGCAAGATTTCAGAGTTAATCTTTTTCCTTATTGGCATGGAATTCTTAGTTAACTTGAGCACAAAAGAGACAAATGGACCAAGCAATAAGAAATAGTAACTTCTCAGGGGGCCGGGGATTTGGCTCAATTGTTCTGCCGCCTGCCTTGCAAGTGGAAGGGCCCAAGTTCAATCCCTGGTACTCAAAAAAAAGAAACAGTAACTTCTCACCAATGATCACCCAAAAGAGTCTAGGTCTCTAGCATCCCTTTACTGAGATTACCAAATTGTTAGTTTTAGTCAGCTTTTCATTATTTTAACAAATACCTGAGACAGTCAAGTCATAAAGAGAAAAGGTTTACTTTAGCTCATGGTTTTAGAGGTTCCAGCCCATGGTCTATTGGCCCTGTTGCTTTTGGGTTTGTGATGAGCAGCATATTATGGAAGAGAAAGTGAAAGAGAGGAGGAGGAGGAGGAGGAAGAGGAGGAAGTGGAAGGGTCCAGGGTCTCACTATTTCCTTTAAGGGCACATCTTTCACTATCCAAAGAGTTCCCACAAGGTCTCCATTCTCTAGTGCCTCCCATTAATGTCATGCTGGGACTCAAGCCTTTAACATATGAGTCTTTGGGGGACACTTAAGATGTGATCTATAGCAACCGGACTACAAAACCAAATTAATAATTATTACTGCCACCTTGGGAGATTACTTTATTGGTTGCACGTGAACCAGAGTCAAAGACAAG